CTGAATGTGATTTTTCAACTCATGAAAATATAATTATATTATATTATATTATATTATATTATATTATATTATATTATATTATATTATATTATATAATTATTTGTAATAATTATTAATTTAAAAAAAACAAATATAAACAAATAGCATAATTAATAATATAATAAAAATTAAAATTAATTAATATATATTATATATATATTATAATAATATATATTTAATAAAAATATTTAATATATTATAATATTATATATATTATAATAATAACATATGTATAATAATAATATTTAATATATTATAATATTATATATAGTATAATAATAATATATATAATAATAATATTTAATTAATATTATAATAAAAATTATTATTATTATTACTGAAACTTATGTGTCATTATTTTTATAAAATAATTAATGTATAAATTCTAATACATAAAGTTTTTATTAATTGAAAAAATATTATTTACAAGATAATACTAAGAATTAATTTTTACAAAAAATTATAAATATTAGAATATAAAATTAAATATAGCATAGATAATGATATATATCTATAAACATATAATGATTAAGGCATATTGGCTATTGTTTTCAATGGTTTATCAAGATATCTTGCCAGAGCTTGTGCTTTTTCTCTTAATAAACCAAACCCCACATTTTCTTTAGCATACAAACATAGTAATAAATTTGCTACTTCAGTGATTACAACTTTGCCCTCCTAAAAGGAAATTATTTTATTGAAAAAATATAATAATTATCATATTTGATAACATTTTTCATTATATGATTCCATATTAGTAATCTGTAAATTCCATGCAACATCATTTATATGACAAATTCATGAATTTTTAATAAATTATTTCAATATTTAAATATATTATTATTAAGTATTTAAAATTTCTTTATAATAAATATGAAACTTTATAATAAATATGAAATTAAATTAAAACTACTGATTATAAATTTTAATTAATCATTATATTATAATAAATCAGTATATTATCATCAGTATATTATAGTAAATATCAATTATAAAAATTGAAATAATAATATTTTGATAATTCTTAAGTAAAAAATATATTTAAAAAAACATATTTTATATATTAAATAAAATTTAATTTTTTTACATATAAAATTTTAAAGATTTAATTAATATTGTTTTATAAATTGACAAGTAAATTTCAAGAATCACAATTTTAACTTTAAGAATTTATGTTTAAAAATCATGAATATTTAAATGTAATTCAACATTCATCTAGACTCAAGAAGCAAAGTCAATAAAATTAAAATAATCTTCGGCATTAATCAAATATAAATCAAACTTAATATCAATAAATAAAAATTTAATTAGTAATTAATATTTCATTTAAAATATATATATTACTTACAATTTCACTGAGTAGATCGATTTGTTTCTTGTCATCATTACAAATAATATATTTTATTTGTATAATCACCGACTCATCTTATAGATATGTAACAGCTAATAATATGCATGTACCTTTAGATCTTATACATTTCTAATTTAAAATTATGATTTTTTTAAATATACTTGTCAAGTTTTATCTAAGATATTATAAAATTTCTTATATTTTAATTTATATTAGATTATTTATATTATTTAAATTATCTTATATATAATTTATTCTTAATTTATATTTTTACTTCATTAAATATATTTTCAATATATTATAAAAATTTCTATTTCTAAATTAATCAAGAAAAAGTATTAATTCATATAAAAAATTTTGATTATATATATGTATATAATTTAATTAGCATTTGAATAGCAAAAATTGATAAACAATTAATAATAAAATATTTATAATTACCGCACAATCCATCAATATAAATTGCAATTCATCTTCCTTAAATGCATTTCGTCCATTTTTTTCATAAGCTGACCAAATGTTACTTGTAATAGCAGCAGTTACTCTTGCATCCTTATCACCATAACCACTATAAGCTAATAAACCACCATCTCTATTTAATAATCTGAAATGCATTTTTATTTAATATTTAATTATCAAATTTTATCATTTTTTTTAGTTATAATAGAAATAAAAAAATATTGAATTTATTTATATAATTATATACATTTAAGTTATTTTTCATAAAATTATATATTTATCAAATTAATTAAGTTTAGAAAATATATATAAAGCAATAAAAAAAATTGATGTATTTTACTTACAATGTATTTTCTACACCGCCAGTATTAGCTTGACTTAGCACTTGTGTTAAAGCTTTTGGTTTTAACATAATTTTATAAATAATAAATACAAATTTCTTTTTTCTGTTATTTTTTTAAATTAATTTTTTTTATTTCACCGTAAATTTTGTATGATATAAGTCACAAGCACAGCCTAATTTCGATACAATCTATGATAAAAGTAAATTTGGCAACAATGCTGAATTTATATACACTCAAATCCCGATATAGTCATTCAAGTTACTAAAAATTACTAGCTTCATCGTTTCCTGCAATTTTATAAAATATTCGTATCAATATGTATTGTCATGGTAAATCAAAAATGAAATATTATATGATTATAGTTTAATAATATATATATAATACTTTAATAATATAATATCATATATATTTATATATAATATATATATATATATATATATATNCTTTAACATTATAATATGCAAATATAGTGCAAATATTTTCTATATTATTTTTTTATATATAATTAACAAAGTTAATTATTAAAAACTAAAATTTTCAAATTCTTATTTTAAACATTTTAATTTTTTATCGTTAAATAGTTATATATATTTTAATAAGTTCAATAGTTCAATAGTTCAATAAGTACAATAATTTATTATTATTACTATATGTAGCAGCAATAAAGAATTTCTAGTATTTTTAAATTATAATATTATTTTTTTAAATTATAATATAAGAAATAATATAATTTTAATTGATTCATAATTTTTTATTGAATTGCATTCAGTTTTATTTATATTTATATTATATAAATATTTATATTATTTATGTTTATATTTTTATTTATATATATATATTCACTTTTGTTCAATAATAGAAATCTTACTTCTTTTTCACTTTTATTAGCTTGTTATTTATTTTTAAAGTTTTCTTTAAAAAAAAAATGATTTAAATTTATTTTATTTGATATTCGTATATTAATGTAAATATTTTCAATATAAGCATTATAATCTCAAATGTAAAAAAAATTCATAAATTTCTTTTATCTTTGAATATTTATATATAATATTTGTACTTATTAAAATTATAATATTTATATATTATATATATATTTTTTATTAAAAAGATTATATCATTTAATAATTTTTTGAAGAACATTAATTACATTTCATCTTTTCATTTATAATAATATTACAATAGAATTTCCCGTAAAAAATATCACATCAATATCTAAGTTTAACATTACTTTGTATCTAAAGGTAGGTTAAATTGTAGATTAGAGTATATGATTTATTATTAATTACAAAATTCAAACATTATTGTATCTCAATCTCATTTGTTTTTATTCATTAAATAGATATTAAAAAATCTATTATTTCATTTTTTTATATTACATAAATTATATCGATAAATTTAATCGACATTCGTTTGTTATATGGATTTCATATTTTTATGAAAAAAATAATGCATTTATCATTGTTTCCGAGCAATTTATATTAATTAGTGACTTATATTTATATTAACAATAAATAATTCTAAAAATAAATTGATATACAAAAAAGTTTTTTATTTCAAGATTTTGAATTCAAATTTGATTTTCTTAGAAAATTATTTTGTTTTTATATCAATTAGATTTTTATATCATTAGTTTTATATCTTATATTTACATTCGATGATTTTATTGAAAAAATATATTAAAAAATTAATTATTATAATAATAATGTAAAAAATAATAAGTGAAAAATCTAATATTGATTTAAATTTTGCAATGTTGAGTATAATAACAATATGTATCTAAAATTTATACAAATATATATTATAAATATTCTATATTATACATCAATGAAAATCATTATACAAGCATATATTTTTTATTATAAAAAATATTTAAAAAATGTTAAATTATTATTATATCAACAAAAATATTTTATTGAAAGATATTTATATATTTATTTGAAAAAATAGTTAACAAATTATGTTATGTGATAAGTATTTAATAGTATAATAAGTATATATATTATAAGTATATGTATTATATGTATTATAAGTATACATTCATACACTATTTTTAAAAGAAAATTATTTTAAAAAATTTAATAATCATACTTGCAACAAGTTTCTTAAATTTCTTTTTCATATATTTAATATAATTCATTAATTCTTAAGAAAGTGTATTTGAAAAATGATATAATTTTTAAGGTCAATCAATTTTTTGAAAATTAATATCATTGCTTAATTTTTTATATTTATTACACATTATAGCACATTCAAATTCAAGAAAATGGAATTTAAGAATAGATTCTTAGCTAATTATAATATACAAATTGTTACGTAAATATTCACATACTTTTTCTTTCAAAGAGCTTTATCTTATTATTAAAACGAGAAATTGAAATAAGTGACAGAAATTTGAAAAATATCACTTTTTTTCATTTTTAAAAATAAAAGATTGTTATTATTATATAAAATTTCGTCTATACATGTGTTTGTGATAATATAAAGTTATTTTATAAACATTTATTTTTTATTTATATCGATATATTGAAACAAGAATTAATATATATAATAGGTAAATTGATTAAACGTTTTCTCATGATTGCGATAGACGAAATATTTCAATTTCAATCTAATATAATTTAATTTAATATTTAAAATATATCTTTATATATTACAATATATAAATATATATTTTTAATAATATAATTTATATATATTATAATTTATTATTATAATTTATATATATTACTATATATATTATAAATTATAATATAAATATTTTTTTATTTACAGTAAACAATTATTTATTTAAGATAAATAATCAATAGTTATTAATAAGATATAAAATTTATAAAAATTTTTTATTAATCGTATAAATTTTTAATAAAGTTTAATTAAAAAAATGTTACAAGTAAAATCTCCATTATTCTTTGAAATATTTTATGAATGTCGAACAACAAAAGCTAGAACTGGTAGAATAACACTTATTCATCATCAAATAGATACACCAGTATTTATGCCAGTAGGCACACAAGTAAGTTAATACATTAATATTTTATTAAATATATCATATATATATATATATATATATATATATATCTTAAAATATATTAAAACATTCAAAATCAAAAATTTTTTATGATATACTATGATAAAAATAAATAAAAAATAAATAAAAATAAATTAACTGCAAGTTTTTTTTATGCTTTTATTTATAACATTTATTATTATTATGTAACATTTTTTTTTAAATTTTATAATAAAAATTTTTTTATAGAAATAATTTTACTAAATTTTCTATTCTATATAATAATTTTATTTTATTTTAATTTAAATATTACTTTTTTAATTATTTAGAAAATTTCTAATATTTTGGAATATTTATAAATTTTATTTATTTATATTTTAATATATATATTTTTATAATAATATTAATATTTTAGGGTACTTTAAAAGGTTTATTACCTCAACAATTAGAACAATTAAATTGTCAAATTATACTTGGAAATACATATCACCTTGGAACAAGACCTGTATGTAAAAAATATTGTTACATAAAAGAATTTATTTTTAATTTATTTAAAACATGATAATTAATATAATATAATATAACTATAATAATATAATTAAATTGCTTGTTCAAATAATTTAAAATAATTTAAAATAAATTAAAAATAATTTAAAAATAAATTCATCATAAAAGTTATTATTTAGGGTCTTAATGTTATGCAAAAAGCTGGTGGTTTACATAAATTTATGAATTGGAAAAGAGCTTTATTAACTGATTCTGGTGGTTTTCAAATGGTATCATTATTAGAACTTGCAAAAATTACAGAAGATGGTGTTAAGTTTAAATCACCATATAATGGTAATTATTATATAAAAATAAAATTTAAATTTAATTTGTATTTATATTATATTATAATAATTTTATATCATATTTTTACGATATTAAAAATATAATAGAAATAAAAAAGAAAATATGAAAAATATAACATTTTAATATTTCATAGAATCAGATTGTATGTTGACACCTGAACATTCCATACAAATACAAAATATAATAGGTGCAGATATAATTATGCAACTTGATGATGTAGTTAAAAGTACATTAACAGGACCAAGAGTAGAAGAAGCAATGTATAGGTAATATTGCATTAGTGTATAAAATGTATAAATGAAAAATAATTATCATGACTATCATAGCATAATTTGCAATGATATTCACAAATAAATCATTTTTAAAAAATGATATAATATAAATCATTTGTAAAAAATAATTTTAAAATTATTTCAAGTTATGATTTTCAAGTTATTACTTTTGACAATATATTTTTGTGTTATAATGAAATATTGGATAAATAACTATAATTTTATAATATATTTATATATATATATATATTATATATTTATATAATTATTATATAATATATTATATATTATATAATATATATTTTATAATATAATTTATAATATAATTTTCTGTTTCCAACAGAAAGTTATTATATATAAGAAAAATATTTCCATATTTCAGCGAATTTTTATAACAATGTAGAAACAATATTTGATACTGCTTCTCAAAAAAAAATCCATCAATTCGACGCGATTTTCAATAACTATACAAAAATTTAGTGATCAGAATAGATAGATTTCTAAACTGAAGAAGTGTACAATCGCTATAATAATTATAATATTAATATATATTAATAATTATAATATATTATTATTTTTCATATATTCTGTACATAATATAGTTATATTACTAATTCACATTAAAAATGTTTTTGATATTTAATATATTATTTATAGAACAACTAGGTGGTTAGATAGATGTTTAAAAGCACATCAAAAACCAAATGAACAAAGTATATTTCCAATTGTACAAGGAGGACTTGATCCCAAACTTAGATCAGAATGTGCAAATCAATTAATTAAGCGTAAAGTCAATGGGTATGCAATAGGAGGATTAAGGTACTAATACTTATACATGTATAATTAGATAAAAAAAAATATTCTATATTTAATTTTATTTTTTTTTTGTAGTGGTGGAGAATCTAAAGATGAATTTTGGAAAATGGTATATCTCACTACAAATATACTTCCAAAAAATAAACCACGATATTTAATGGGTGTTGGATTTGCTATTGATTTAATTATTTGTTCTGCTTTAGGAATAGATATGTTTGATTGTGTATTTCCTACAAGGACGGCGGTAATTAATTATAAATATTATGTCTTTGAATTAAATTTAAAAGAATTTACATAAAAAATATAATAAATCAGCAGAATGCGATTTATATATATTATATTTAATTATATAAATTATATTTTTCCTCATAATAATATTTTTCAGAGATTTGGTTGTGCATTAGTACATACTGGCCAATTAAATTTAAGACAAGTTCAATATCGTAAAGATATGAGACCAATAGATGAATCATGTGAATGTAATACATGTAAAACATATACACGTGCTTATCTTCATCATATTGTAACAGTAGAAACAGTTGCATGTCATTTGCTATCTATTCATAATATTGCATTTCAAATGAAACTAATGGAAAATATTAGACAAAGTATTAAAGAACAAAGATTTCCAAAATTTATACAACAATATATGTTAGATTTATATCCAAATAAGAAATACCCTTCATGGATTGTTAATGCCTTGAAAACTGTTGATGTTATATTATTATAAGAGATGTAATTTATTTTCATAATAAAATTTTTCTTTTTCAATACATATATATTACAGAAATAAATTATAAAATATTTGATATATTTTATAATAACTAATTTTAATTATTGATAATATCAATACATAAATTATCACTTGTGAATAGTTTATACAAAATAAGTACTTATATATTAAGATATATTTCTAATTAATTTATTTATTAATATATATTTAATATGTAAGAAAACCAATGTAAAAAAAAATTTCAATATTTAATATAGTTTTGCAATTTATATAAAATTTATGTATATTTTAATTGAATTTTATAAAATTTTATTAGTTTTCTCATTATTTTGTTTTAAATTTTTGTAAAGATCAATAATATTTTTTTTCAAAACAATTAACCAAATTAAATTTCAAAATTATACATAATAATTTTTCTTTTAAATATATTTATCTATTATTTCAAATTATAGTAAATAGACAAAAATCACAAATAATATTAATAATTTAATCACATAAAATCATCTGAATCATATCCACTATTTTCTGTATTTGATGTCATATTAGATGTATTAAATAAAGAATTATAACTCCTGTAAATTAAATTTAAAGAATTTAAAAAACTTATACATTTTAATAATAGTATAATTACTTTTATTTTACCTCATTTCTGCTTCTTCCTTTCTCCGTTTTTCTTCTGCTTTTTCTCTTTCTTTTTGTTCTTTTAAAAGTTTTTTTTTATCTTCTCGTTCATTTTTGTCTCGTTGTTCTCTTTCTGTTCTTAAATTTACTTGCTCTGAACGTTTAGTTTTGTTCAATCGATTAATAATAGTATTTATTCGTTTTGTAACATGAATTTTTCGAACATCTTTATCTCTATGGAAACCAACTTCTCCTATTTCCATTCCTTGTGTCTTTTTCAGATTTGACCACATTGTATATACTACATCAACATCATTCATTTTACTTCCTTCAATACTATTTGCTTTTACTAATTGTGCAGCATCTTCTAAAACTGCACTAGGTATATCATCTATTGTTTGTCCCTATAAATTATGTACATATGTATATACATATATACATATAATATTTATATACAATTGTATGTAAATACTACATATATTTTATAAAAAATATTTACAAGATGAAGACGAAGATATACATGTGCTGAAGAATATTTATCAACATGAAACCAAACATCTTCTGGCCACCCCCATCTAATAAGATCCTCATCTAGAAAATTATATTAAAAGAATATATCTTAAACATTATAATTTAGATTTTAGATTTTATATTTTTACTCACTTTCATATTGATCAATTCCCATAAATAATGTTACTGGTGGTTGCACAACTGTAATTTAAAGTAATGATTCTTTGTTCTAACCTTATTTAATGTTATTTTAGTAGTAATGTTAATGTATATATTAAAAAAAAGTTATATACATACACTAAATATGAAACCAATGATAAATATTATTACCTTCACTTGTAAAATAATAAACCATTATTACAAAAAGTTTTGGTTGAAACACAGTGGAGCAATTTATCTGTCAAATTTTAAATTTATATTATTTTGATAATTATGCACAACTAAAAAGAAAGTACTTAGAAGAAGAAATACAGATCTAATTGGTTATTTCTGATAGATCCAATATAATTATGTAAATAAGCACATGTATTGGTTGATAATTTAACGTCTAAAAAGATCATATAATTTTAAATAACGATAAATAAAAACGTTAAATAAAATAATCTATGTTTCTTTTTCGTTCTGTGCAAAACTTCTTGTATTACAGGTAATTCCTCATAATAATATAATATTTAAATTTCATAAAAATATTATACTATAAAAATCGCATCATGCTTATATTATATAAATATATATAAAAAATGAATATATATTTTGAAACAATATTTTTAAATATAAATTTTATTTATCATGTAAATATAAATTGTTATATCGAAATTATTATATAAGTACTGCATTATACAAAGATCGTTATAATTTGTGAATTATATTATATCAAAATTGTATTGTAAAAGTATGGCATTATACGAAGACTTTTATTTGTTAAATCAATAATATAACTAAAAAATTATAACTATAAAGAAAATTACTTCGAATATTTTAAATCACTGTAAAAACATCAGATTAAAATATTAAATTAAAGTTCACAAGTTAAGTTAACCATACACATTCTTATTTGTTCCTCAAATTTGGTCAGGATTGCCAACTGATGCAAACTGGATTTATCATTACATGCTGATTGACAGAAGAAGAAAAAATTGAAAAGGGAATAATATATGCGATTATTATATTCAGACATATATATCAAGGTATGTTTTCATGCAACGATGCAATATTAAATCATCGTTATCGCAACGTTAACAGTAATGATACTCTGATACTCTATTATATTATACTAAATTTAATGCCATGATGTAATAAAAATCATCAGTTTTTTTCTTTTCTATTACTTCTAATTAAAATAAAATATTTTAAAAATTTAAAACTTATATCTGGCAATCCTGTTCTGGACATATTTGAAATTGATTTGGAACAATATGTACTATTGTAAAATTGATTTTTTTAGTTTATTATATTAAAAATTAAGTGACATAAAATAAAATAATCTTTATTTTATCAGAAAGAATAAAGAAATGATTGATATGAAAATATATAACTATATAAATATAATTTTTCAAAAGAATTGAACTGATTCTATATGTTTATATATGTATATAATTTGTATATTTATATAAAAATTACATAATTACAATAAATTATATTATTATTATAAGTACATATTACATATTATTAATAATAATATATTAAAATATAATATATTTTTTTATAATTACTGAATTTTTTATAGTTACTGAAATTTATTATGTGCATATAAGTCTAATACAAGTGTATTAAATATATATAAACATATGTTGCTAGTAATTAATTTTATTAATATATTTATTATAAACTTGTATTATTATAATTTGCAAAATTTTGCAAATTGTAATATTTATTTGATAATGATTAATGATATAATGATTAATGATATTGCTTATAACATGTTATTTATTTTAAGAAGTAATTTTTTAATTAAAAGTCAATTACATATTGATTCATATGAATTGCATGTTTTTCAGCATGATACATTGCAATAATATGATCAAGTACTGGTCCTATTTCAGGATCCCTTATTCGTTCACCTATAGCTACAGGTGTTTCCAATAGGGATAAATATACTAAAAATTTATTTTTCATTAATTATATTTACATTATTTAATTATATTTTTTTATTACTCATTAATAAAAATAATTTTACCAAGTAGCATATTAGGATTTGTAAGACTAAGTTGGATGCGAGGATCATTCATAATTGCTTTATAAATTGGATTATCCGAATCGAGTTCTTTATCTAAATCTTGTAAGCTGTGTTTTCTTTCTCCAAGTAACCATTCACACTAAAAATAAAAATATATTAAACTTAAAATTTTATATTATGTAAAATTTATAGTGAATTTAAAATTTAATAAAATTAAAATTATATAATAAATTACTTACAGCATTAATTTGATTGTTTCCAGTAATTTTTAGAGCCTCAATAATATTGCTTTCTTCAAATCCCATTTCTAATAATAATTGTACTGCTCTAGAATTAGGTTTAAAATCTATTTTTCTACAGTGATGATAATTTTTTAATAAACGATCTACTATGTTAAGTATATTCTCTTCCTTATTTAAATTTAAATCTTGACATCCTATATTATTATTAAACAATATTTTATATATTATGAAATGAAAACTGACATATATAAATATGTATAAAACTAAAAAAAATTTTTAATATTAAGAAAAGATAATAATTGAAATAATAATTATTTTCATTTTTAATATATTTTATATATTTTTAATATACAAATTTTTAAATATATATCAAGCATGAAAATTAAATGAAAATATAATTTAGAAAAAAGAACTTTAAGCACATTTATTAAATTTTTATTTGATAAATATCATTTTCAATAATAAAATCGAAAATGTTTGTTTCATATTTATCTCTTTTCATTGCTATAACTGTTATTTTCTCAATTGTATTATTAATTTATTTCTTATTAGTTTTTATTAAATATTATTCTTTAAATAAATCAATACTTGTTTCATTAAAACATTTTTGATAAATATATAGAAATCATTTTTACTTTTTTATCATTACCTGTTTCAATAGATTCTGAATCTAAATCATTATCATCATCTTCTGGGTCATTTTGATGTTCTGTTAACCATTCTAAAGCTTCCATTATATTTGATCTATAATAATTATCATAAAAATTTAGCTTTTAATTTATTAATATTTATATAAATATTAATTTAAATGATATATTGTATACTTTCGTAAGCGAAGAATTTTTAAGACTTTTTTCTCAGAATAACCCATTTCTGTAAGAGTTTTTATAGCATTTGGATTAATATTTGGTTTACATCTTGCTTCTAATTTTTCTTTTAAAATATCACAAAATTTTTGTGCTTCTGGACTGTATAAAATAATTCTTGCTGATGCTTTTACAAGTGTTATTAAAATTTTTCGCACTTCATTTTGAAACTGAAGTATAAAATATATAATATAAATTCTATTTATGTAGAAAATGTAAAAGTTTTTGAAAAAGATGAAAATAAGAAAAATATAAAAAAAACATAATATATAGATAAGTATATATTATATATGTGTGTATTTATTTACATCTGCAGGACAATAAAGTGAGGGAATATGTTTAGGTGGATTACGTATAGGTAAATTTTCTGTTACTTGTAATATTAATTCTTTACTTGGACCTTTTAAAGCCTTTTCAGATAAATCGTCATTCGTAGATGTAGAACGAATGTTTATTAACATTAATTCCTCTGTAATATAGAAAACTATTTTATATCATTATGAGTTTAATATAAACTTCAATAGTTTTTTTAATATTTTACCATTTTCATTAATGTTTTCATTTGTTATATTATAATTATCTAAGAGACATTTGAATTTAGTTGAATGAATTAAACGAAAATCACTTGGATTTCTTGATGTATTATCACCATAAAAATATTTTATTGCAATATTTTTGATTGCATTAATAGTCATATCTGATGTTATATTAAAATTTGTAATCATTCCTTCAGGACTATATAAATAAATTATATTTAATAATAGTTTTTAAAAAAAATATTAAATATTTAATAGTATATTACCTTATAATATTAATTAATAAAGATTTTGATTCAGACATCGCGCAATTTTATAAATCTTTGTTTTAATAAAAGAAATCGTCAAAAATTTTATTTTTTTTTGATAAATTTTTTATGTTGTACTAAGCATTTATCATATATTCTTGTAGTTTAATTATAAAATATATCTATAACATGAAAAAATTTTTATTTTTAATCAATAAAATAAATCAATTCAAATATTTAGTTATTATTAGAGTAAATAAACTTCAAAAATTAAAACAATATTTATAAATTTATCTTTTATATATATATATTACCAACAAATACTGTTTAAATAATTTTATAATTGTATTTATAATTTTTATATTTATCTTTAAAACGAAAATTTTTACTTATATTTATATGTATTTTAAATAATATGTCACATGATTGTTTACGTGTAGTTCATATCAAGACACAAAGAGTGCATCCGAAAATATATAACCATGAAAAATTAATTTCGTAAATGTTTATTTTTGTAAAATATTTTTTTTAAATAAATTTTAAAATTTATTTTATTTCATTGATATTCTAAATATAATAAAATATGACAATTATAATATAAAATATTTTATAAAAATATTTTTGCGATTTAAAAGCATATTAAAAATATTTTTGCAATATCATGTCATTTAAAATGGGAGTCAAAAAAAACAAAACAATTATTAATAATCATAAATATTATAACACATTTAGATTTTAATAAATTATAGATAATAAAAATTATATAATTATAATGTTTAAAAATATATTTTTTGTAATATTGATATAATAAAAAATTATTTATAACAAAAAAATAACTTTTTTTAAATCTTTTATATAAATTTAAAAATATTTAAATATATATAATATTATATCAATATATGTACATATATTCTTTCTTTCTTTATAAAATATTGTTTAAATTTATTTATAAATATATATTAAAATTTTATAAATAATATTTGAATTTAGTGAAAAGAATATGTTAAAAATCAAAAAAATCAAAAAATGTTAAAAATCAAATAATAAAAAATTAATAAAAACTTTTATCAAATAATAAATTTCTTAGAATGGCTGAAAAGTCTGGATGTGGTGAATTACAACAATTGGTTCAAGAAGAGGAATGTGAAGAACCATCGAGTCAAGGTGGAGAAGCTACACCACCTTCTACACCAGCAAGATCTCTTCATCCAAGTAAAAATGATACACGTAGTTCTCATATATCGGTATGAATTTAATATTAGTTATCTTATTAAAGCATCTTATATTATTTATCTTATTAAAGCATAACTAATATTATTTATAGTAATATTATTTATATGATATATAATTATTATAAGTTTTAATATTATTTAAAATTTTTATTTGATATCTTATATGATGTACAAATATTATAAAAGAATAATGTACAAATATTATATTCTTTATAATTATAAAAGAAGTAATAATATTATTGCAGCAAAAAACTTATATATCATTTTTTAAAATAACTATTTATTAATTAATTTTTTTATTTTATTTTTTAATTTATTTATTTTTTTTATTTTTTTATTATTTTTTTTATTATTATGTTTTGTTATTACATTTTAATATGATATAAAACTACCTCAATAAAAAAATAAAAAATTTTTCTATAAAAAAAATTAATAAATTAGTAGATTAATAATATATATAAAAATAATGATGATAATTATGTTGCATATTAAAGAAATAAACATTGTAATATAAATTTAACAAAGAATATATAAAATAACAAAATTTATCAACTTGACTAAATTGATTAAAAATTAATGGATAACATAATGTCACAAAATAGATAATTCATTTTAGTCTATTTTAAAAAATATAAATCATATTAATGATATTTCTTTTAATATTGTATCAAATATATCAAATAATTATCAAATATATATTTAATATTATCAAATATATATTATAATAATATAAGTCTAAAAGAAAATGAAATTATAATATTACATTATTTTCAATTAACCATGAATTTCAATTAAATTTTTAAATATATTTATTATTAAATAATAATTATTTATTAAATATAATAATAAAGCTAACATAATATATAATATAATATTAAGATTAAAAATATAATATATAAATAAATATAATATATAAAAAAATATAAATATATAAATAAACCTGCTTTTTTTTTAAATACCACAATATAATATAATAATATTTTTAAAATATTATTTGTATAGATTTTTAATATATATAAAAATATTAAATAAAAATATAATAAAAGATTTAAAATAGATTTACAAAAAAAATAAATTTCTTAATTTGAATTAAAAAATTATCTTTTTATTATTTTTTAAAATAGAATAAATATTTTATTTTTCTCATTTTTTTAAAATAAAATTCAAATATTTTTTTTAAATTTTTCAAATTATTTATATTTAAATATTTCATACTCTAATATTTTTTATTAATTTAATTCTTTCCTATGTAAATATATATACATTATCTGTATATATATTTTTATGAAATAATACATTTAGATTTATAAATTAATTTTAATTGTAAATATATATAAAATATGTAAAATTAATTAGATAAACTTATTTAGATAAATATATTGTTTATAAGTACTGCTAATAAATTTATATATAGTATAGAAATTTATATATTATTTTAGCAACAAGTGTTGTGGGAAACAAATATACAAACATCACCTATTGTTAGTAAAGGAAGTTCTGGTCAAGCAACAAGTCAAGGATCTATGATTTCTGGTCGAGCCGTAAATCTTTCAAATCATAGTAATCAGTCTCGATTAATGTATATGAATGAGAAAGAAAAACAAAAATCACATCGGCCAGAATTATCAAAAATTAATCGTCAACATAGAGGTAATTTTATTTTTTATAATAAAATATTATTTAAAATAGATTTCTAAGTATCATTTAAAATTTATTACTATAGTATTCATATATTGAGTATTCTAAAAATATTTGCAACAATATAAAAAATATTTTTTTTATATTATTTTTTAATAATATATAATGTTATATATTGTATAATTTATTTATATTATTATGAAATTCTTATAAAATAAAATATTAAAATAATATTATAGTTAATAATAAAAAATTTTTTTTTTAAATTAATAATAAATTATAATTTTTTTATATACTTTTTATTTTTAAGTTTTTTTAAGTTTTCATTATATTTTTTGGTTGTGTTTTGGTGTCATAAAATAAAGCTATGGCACCATGCAAACATCATTGCTTTTTGTCAGAGGTTCCTGATGTTCGACGTATGGAACAAGCTTTATTACAGCTTTTAGAAGATTTTCATAGTGGCAATTTACGAGCATTTGGTATGTAAAATATGTATTTAAACATATTTTAGCTTATATATAAAATTGAAATGCTATTTTAATACAGGAAAAGATTGTAGCATGGAACAAATGACAGAAATACGAGAACAACAAGAGCAATTAGCCAAACTTCATTTTGAGTTAGGTCAACGACAAGGAATTGGTGGAGATCAATCAGGTCTCAGACATTCAAGTGCAAATATGGATAATTTATTGGAATGTTTGCAAGAACTTAGTGTTTGTATTGAAAAATTACATAGCAAATAAATATTTATAATATACATATATAAAAATTTAAAAAAAAAATTTAAATAGAAATATGAACATCGATATGATATTATAAAAATATGAATATTTTATAGAATATTTTCATATTTTAAAAATCTTTTATAATATTGTTTTTATATATAATTGTATATTTAATTTTTCAAATTATGAAATCTTGAATTTTTTGTTTTAAGCTACTTATTTATTTAAAAATTTCTCTTAAAATAATAAATTATAATATTATTTGATAGTATTTAATAAACAATAAAATATAAATAATGCTATTAATTAATTATTTATTCTATTAAATTAAATTTGATATTTATTACTTGTATATTTATTTATTTTTATCAAAACTATATATATATATATATAGAATAAGGTTGGATAGATAATATAAAGGCAATCCGTAATTTTTTTTTAAAAATTATTTAATTTAAAATTTTATCGAATTAAAAAAAAAAGATAAATATAAAATTTTTATAAGATAATATAAGATATAATATATTTTTTTATTTCAAGACCATTCTTTAAGAAAATTAAATTTAAAAATTCATTGAATTATGCGAATATCTAATTACTTTTGTTTAATTTCGATTTTCTTAAAAGTAAAAACTTAGAGAAAGAAATTTTTAATCTAAGAAATTTTAAATCTAATATTTTTTTAAAAACAAATCCTTAAAGAAAAGAATTTTATTTTTTTTTTTAGCTTTATATTGTGTGATTATATCTTTTGTTTAATTTTCATGTTTTTTATATATATCTCTTTTAATTTTAATAAATATTAAAGAATATAAATATATTATTTATGACTATTTTATTTGATACCTTATATAATATATAAAATGTATTAAATTGAACATTTAAATATATGTTAATTACTTATATATTATAAAATAAATACTAAAAATTTTTATTTCCAAAAATAAATTATAAAATAAAAATTATGAAATAAAATTTTATTTTTTTAACATACTTTTCTAAAATTTTTAAAACTTGATATCTTTAAATATTAAAATATTAAGTTTAAAATATTAATATAATTTAAATGAAAAAAAGTAAATTTTATTTATTTATATTTTTCAATCATATTTTTTTTTGAAACTTTTAAGTTCATTTTAAAATATAGTTAATTAAACAATTTATTCCTAAATAATTCAATAAAGACAATATATTTTCATTAGTAATTCAAGAAAGGCAAACTATTAATAGTTCGATATTGTAAGTATAAAAACACTGTACTTGTGTAACAAATGAATATATTCATTTATTTGTATTATTATAATTATATTTTATATATAAAATATAAATACTATATGAACTTATATTTAAAATAAGGTTAATATATTTTTTAATGAGAAACAATTTGATCCTTTAAATTTTTATTTCATTAATATTAAAAATGTTATAAAAATGATATATAAAGTAAGTTGTTTTACGTAATTAAATTGTATTTTAAAATAAATGAAGCACGCTTAAAGGTCACAAAACAATTGTTTTAAATTGTGATTATTAATTCAACAATTTAATTGTAAAATAAAATCTGTTGTAACGCACATAACAAAATCAAATTTAAAAAAACATAAGTTTTATGATAAAAATTTAATGTAATTTTAATTTTATAATCTTCAATCAAATATCAATTAGTTTTAAACATTCGGAAGTTTATAGACAGTAGTCATTTCCGTTACCTTGCAGTATCAAAACTATATTTCGTACGAAAGATTATTGATGTCATGTAGTTAATTTTTTTGGATATGCAATAAAAGGAAACAATCAGTTGAATTTAGTTCTATTTAAAAAGGTGAAACTTCCATTTATTTCATTACATCTGTTAAATAGGACTAATCTTCAATGTTTTCTTTCCAACCTCATAATCAGGTTTGTATTATTATAATATTGATGAAGTTATAACCATACAAAATCAAATTTAATAGATAGCTCATTATATATAATTTTAAATTTTATAATATAATATATAACATATTTTATAATATATTAAATATATATTAAATTTATTTTTTAAAAATATTTATATATTATAATTTTAAATATACTATATTAATAAAAATTTTCGAAATTTGCATTATCTTATATTTTTATTAAGAACACAGTTTTTATTTTTCTTATTTTACATTTTTTTACATTATTTTTTATTTTTATTTTATTTAATATTACAAATCACAAATTATTAATTAATATTAAATTGCTATTTAATAGTAAAATATTTACTTAAGAAGAGATATTATTATTTAACATTTTTAGGTGTTATATCACCTGGCACAATTAACTTCAGTAGTTAGTCCAAAATCTACATCATTTTCAGTTAAAGTTAAAAAACAAAATGAATTTAAAAAATCTATGGATGATATTTCCTTTAGTAATTTTTCAGAAGTAAGCTATTATGGTAATGTATTATATAAAATGATAATGATGATTTATTAAATATATATATTATATTTCAGGCTACTAAGAATTATATTGATAAGTTAATAGACAAATTAAAAATATGTGATGTAATTGCAATGTTTGATATAAAAACAAATAATATTTTGGTAGTATTAGATAAATTTTCCACAAAAATTTGTAAGAAAAATTTAGAAAAAAATAATAAGTGGAAAATATCAGATATATCAGAATTGAATTTCAAAGAAAACAGAAAAAAATATCATAATTCTTATTATCAATGTACGAAAGAGATTATTTTACCTACCTTACCTAGAAAATCATCTAATTATCATATACAAATTCGTAATTTTAGAACAAAACGTAATGTAAATGTTGAATTAGAAAAAAAGGCATCATTTGTAAATAAATTTAAAAACTTGTTTGGTCATTTTTCTGGAACAGTAAGATTATATATTATATATTATATTATTTATATTAATATTTTAAAAATATCATAAATAATTTTTTTATTTCATAGAATATAGGATATAGAGCAAATATTTTGAAAGAAAAAGACTTGACAGCAATTAAAAATTTATTCAATAATCAAACATCAGTAGAAGAATATAGAAAAATTATATTAGCTTTCATTGAAGGATATGAAGCAGGACTAGCACGTCAAACATATCCTTATTTTGGATGGTTTAAAGTAATGTGTACTTTAATAACAGGAACTATATTTGTAATGTTTTGGTATGGAGGTATGTAAATTTAGAGATTTAATGAAATTTTTCTTTTTTATTCATAATAATATAATAACTATTTTGATAGATATATTTTAATATTATTTTATAATAGTTATGTTTTATTATTATCAAAAATAATATGTTGCTTTAAATATAATAAATAAAAAAATTATAATATTCTGACAATTAATGAAAAATTCAACTCAAAAGAAATATATTATTTATATATTAATTATTTGTACATAATTATTTTATAAATAAACAAACATTAGATTAATATTTAAATAATATTAATATGTTTTAGATTAATAATAATAATAATCCATTTTTTCTTGTAGTTTATTTAGTAGGAAGTGGATTACGATTTTCAATGGATGGTATTAAATTTAGACCAGAAACAACAGATATAACTTTCAATGATGTTAAAGGAGTAAGTAATTCATTCTTAGAATTTTAATATTAATAATTTTTTTTCATCTCATTATTTATAATTTATTTATTTATATATAATTAGGTTGCAGAAGCTAAACAAGAATTAAGTGATATTGTCGAATTTTTAAAAAATCCAGAAAAATTTTCTGCACTTGGTGCAAAGCTACCTAAAGGTGTATTATTAGTAGGACCACCAGGAACAGGAAAGACATTGTTAGCTAGAGCAGTAGCTGGTGAAGCTGGTGTACCATTTTTTCATGCAGCTGGACCAGAATTTGAAGAAATTTTAGTAGGACAAGGTGCACGCAGAATGAGAGATTTATTTAGTAAGTTATAATAATATATATTGAAAAAATATTCCAATTATTAAATAAAAATTAATTAAATAAAATTTAGAAAGTTGTTGAAAATATTATTTATATTTTTTACTTTAATTTTCTTTTATATAATTGATTATATTATGAATCATTTATAATCTATTTATTTTAATATATAAGCATATATATATTGAAAATTTTTATTTAAATCTATTTATGATTTAATGTTATGATTATGCCATAAAACTATTTCTAATGATATCTGTTTATATATTTATATTATAATTTAATAAATGTTCTAAGTAATTGTATTACATCAAATATTTTTTTTATTTTAAAATTATAAAACAATGTGTTCTATATAAAATAAAAATTATTCATTATTATTTTTATTTTAAATTTTAATTTAAATTTTAAATTATTTTAAATTATAATTATAATTAATTATAATATTTCACAAAATATTAATATTAACATATAACATTATTTTATATTATGATATGCAATTGTGTGCAAATGAAAATTTAACTTCAACAAATATTATAACTCATTCATAGTTTATTACTATTATTTTTTCAGAAGCAGCAAAAGAAAAAGCACCTGCTGTAATTTTTATAGATGAAATTGATTCTGTTGGTGCAAAACGAACAAATTCAGCTCTCCATCCATATGCAAATCAAACAGTAAATCAATTACTTACAGAAATGGACGGGTAAATTAAAAATTCTATTTTATTTTTTTGCAATATATAGGATGATCTTAGCAATTAATATGAAATTAATTTAGGATTTTATGTATGAAAAGAAGGAAATTGGTAGAAAAAAAAATGAAGAAACTATTAAAAATTATTTCTCATTATAATATAATTTTTTTTCTAACTAATTATTCTATAATAGTATTATATATATAGTATTTATAAAAATATAGTATTTATAATAATATATAGTATTTATAAAAATAGTATATAGTATTTATAAAAATATATAGTACTATATAGTATTTATAAAAATATATAGTATTTATGTTAATTGATTTTCAAATTATTTTTTTTTTTTAATTTAATCATATATTATTGTTTTAAAAAATTTTTTATTATTTTTCTCAATATATTTTTTTTTATTATTTCATTACCGAAGAAAACCAATTTACAAAATAATACAATATAAATAATATATATATATATATATATATATATATATATGTTATATTTAATTACATGGAAGTTAAATGATTTAATAATGAAGTAGCATGAATAAATACTAATTAAATAATTCAATTTTTTCTTCTCTTCTCTGTAGTTAATTTTATTTTTTCATTAAAATTTATTTTAAAATTTTTAAATTATCAATTTCGATTATCATAATTTATAATTATAATATATTAAATTTAATATTGACATTATGATTTATCATTTATCAATAATTTTTTTTATATTTGTAGATTTCTTCAAAATGAAGGAGTTATAGTATTAGGAGCAACAAATAGACGTGATGATTTAGATAAAGCATTAATGCGTCCTGGTCGTTTTGATGTTGAAGTTGTAGTTGATATACCAGATTATTCTAGCCGAAAAGAAATTTTTGATTTATATTTATCAAAAATATTAACACGAGATGTTGATACAAGTTATTTAGCAAAATGCACTGTTGGATTTACTGGAGCTGATATAGAAAATATGGTAGTATTTTTTTAATTATATATCTTTTCATCTAATACTTTAATTTCTTATGTGATCAATTTATGTATAAAATAAAAATAATAAAAAGATTAGAAGATAATAAAAAAAATAAAATCTTGCTATAAAATATACAATTCAAAATTAAAATTTTTTTAATTTTTCAAGTTATTTACATGTGATTATTTTTCTTTTATTCTAGAATGAACTATTCAATTTATTTATAATAAAAAAAAAGTATTTTTTTATTTTTATTGATTATTAGAGATTAATTAAAAATTAATTCTAAAGTTTTAAATCAAATTAATTTCATTATTGATTTAATTTTAAAAGGTAAATCAAGCAGCTTTAAGAGCTGCCATAAATGATGCTGAATACGTTTCAATGAAACATTTAGAATATGCTAGAGATAAATTAATTATGGGTCCAGAAAGAAAATTAAAAATTAATGATACCGAAACTAATAGTATTACAGCATATCATGAAGCAGGACATGCATTAGTTGCATATTATACTAAAGATGCACCTGCATTGCATAAAATTACTATTATGCCTCATGGACATTCTTTAGGACACGTAAGTATTATAATATATATATATTAGCGATTTTATTCTATTGATATTGTTATAAAATTTTTAGAAATAAATTATATCTAAATGTTTATTTTTTTTCTTAATATAATAATTCATAATTATTATCTTATTTTCTTAATAATATATATATATATATATATACAGAATAAAAATGCGATATATTTACGATATATTAGATCAGTTTTTTTTAAAAATGATAAATGTTTTAAAAAGATAATAAAGAAAAAAGTTTTAACATTTTTTATGATGAACATACAAGAATTTTTTATATTTATAAATGTAAAAAAAAAATCATATATATATAATATTATTCAAGAAATGAAAATGAATTCAATTTTTTAAGAAATATCATAAATTTGTTTATGCCACATGAAAATCAAAAAAAAAATATATTAAAATAAATTTAAACATGTATCATATTATGGCATTTAAAATCAGACAATGTCAGAAATGAATGAAATAAATTGAATTTTATAATATTCCATTTATAATATTCCATTTAAAAAATTTCATTTTTGTTTCTTAAATAATACTGCAAATATGAAAAATTCATATACATTATTATGTTTGTCATAAAAAACATTAAAAATTTTTTCTTTATCATCCTTTTCAAAAACTTATCATTTTCAAAAACATTGGTCCAATATATTGAATATTCTGTATATATATATATATGTGTATATATATATATATTTATAGACTGCATTTTTGTCTAACAAAGATCAAATTCATATAACAAAATCAAAATTATTGGCTCAAATGGATAGTGCAATGGGTGGTCGTGCTGCAGAAGAATTAATTTTTGGTCCTGATAAAATAACAGCAGGAGCACAAAGTGATTTTAAGGTATTTTCAGTTTATTTTTAAGTTAATAATTTTTTTCATATTTATACATATGTACATTATAAAAATTAAAAATTAAATATCTAGTTACAAATGTTTCTAATATTATTTATATATAACAAAATAAAATATCATATAAGAAAATAATATATTATATTATATAATCATAGATAATTATATTTCTTAGGCTGCAACTTCTATCGCAGAAGAAATGGTAAATTTATATGGCATGTCTGAAAAAGTTGGTTTTGGAGTTCGCATGGGAAATCGAACAGATGGATATCCATCAGGTCCGAACGCAAATGATCTTAGTGATAATGAAGTGAAACGTCTTTTACAAGTAAATATTGCCATCATATGATGTTAATTCCATGGCATATAATATTCTATAATATATACATTAAAATATTTTTTATTTTAGGAATCATATGAACGAGCAAAAATGATATTACAAAAACATGCAAAAGAACTAAAAAAAGTAGCAGATGCTTTGCTTAAATATGAAACATTGAGCTCTAAGGATGTAGAAGCTGTAATTAATGGAGAAAAAATTTCAACTGAAACTTTAAAGAATCAATCACGAATTATAGATCCATCTGAACATGTATTATAATTACCGTACTAAGATTCAATTTAAAATAATAAGCAAAATAAATTATTTGGTGCAGTATCGATGTTGCATTTTACAATTAATATTTTATTATAATAACCATGGATGCAGAATTATACAATTATACAATTTTAATTAAAATGTATTAGATTTTTCAATTGAAAACTTTGTATTAAATTACTCTTATTTTTTTTAATATATTGAAATTTATATAATAATTAATGAAAATTTATTTATCATTATCATTTTAAAAAATTTCTAAAAACAAAATAATATATAAATATAATAAAAAGTGATATATAATGTATTATACATAATTATATTTAAAAGTAAAATTGTATATAATTATGTATTGTAATGTAAAAATTGTTATATTGTTTAAAATTTATAAGAATAATTTTACAATTTTAAAATTTTAACAAAATATAATTCTGCAAAAAAATTTATTTTTTATTTATAGAAAATATATTAGTTATATTAATTTAAATTTTATTATTTGCAACATTGAATGGGTAATATCTTAATTCGTAATATAATTATATTTTGATTGATAATATAATAATTTTTTATATTAACAAATTTATTAATTTAAGATTTTATATAAGAAAACAAATTATTCTCAAAAAAATATTTTTAATAAATCCTTTTTTTTATAAATATTAATATAATTAAATTTAAAATGAATTTAAATTTCATTTACGCTAATTATTAAGTAATATATTTTAAAGAATAATATCTAACTTTTATTATCATGCAATTATGTTTGGTTGAATTTTGTTTTCGTTTAAAATATGTATACAAAATATTTAAAAAAAAATTAATAATATTAAGGCCATATAAGAATTAACATTTTATTTACCATATAGATATAAATTATACAAAATTATATGTTACATGTACTCATACATGTTTTATGTTTAATCTATTTTCTTATTATATTTATAGTACGTTTTGATATGACTAAAATTTATTTGACATTGCTTCTTTTTCTTTTCTTAAAAATATAAAGTTTGAAATATTAATTAAAAAACTCATAAAATCAAATTAAAATTATTAAAATAAGAAGCTATAATATTCTAATAAATCTATGTTTTGAATAAATAATTTGTATAAAGTATATTACATTTATATGTGAGCAAATATAAACCAAAGGAAATGATCTGTAATATATAATTCTGTAAGATTAAGATACATATATACAATAAAAAAATGTACAGAAAAGATCATTTATAGAAGTATTCATACAAATATCACAGTATTTATTATCTTCAAGAAATCACAATTAAAATTCTTCAAATAATTTAATGCAGGATAAACAAAATTTGATAATCTGGAATATCTTAATTGTTTATAATAATTGTTTATATTAAAAAATTTCATATAAAAGTTGGTCTTAAGAAGCACATTTTTGATATTATTAATTTTTATAAATCGATATATAAAATCGATTTTGATTTTTAAATGGAATTATATAATTTTTTATTAATGCAACATGTTATTTTCTATAAAAAAATATTAAATTATATATGTTGAAAAATCATTAATTTTATTTATAGAGATATTTTAATTTAAATTATATAAAATTTGAAATATGAAAAATAATGAAAATACGAACAAGTATCATTTTGCGTATTCTCATTTTTCATATAAAGTCTAAAATTCAAATTAAAATATCTTTTAAACTAATATTTTTTTGATATAAATAACTTAATATTTTTTGTAGAAAATAATGAGCTGCATTGAATAATGTATTCAAATATAAATAATTTCATTAAAAAAAAATTGATTTTCCTTTAAATATTATCCAATAAAAAAACTAATAAATCAAAAACTATCAGAATATACGCTCTTTTCAATTTCTGTTTAAAATATTTTTTAATTATATTTTAATATTAATTAAAAAGAAATAAGATATTTTATGAGCAATTTCACGAGTTATTTTGTTCACCCTATATACTAAAAGATTAAAAAACTAGTAATGAAATATGAATTCAAAAAATTTTATTTCATAGTGAACGAAATAGAAAATGAATCAAATATTGAGATGTATAATTTTATTTTGATGTAAAAATACCTAAAATAAAATAAAAATTTGTTCATATTAATATAAATTTTTCAGTAATTAATTTTTTTAAAACATAAAAATTACAATTACTGACATGTACAATATAATAGAAATATATAATATTAATTGAACAAAAAGAAAAATAATTCCAAATATTATTAAAAATGTTTATATGATATATAATTTAAAAATAGTTTTTTTAAAATAAATATTTCACAAGAATAAATTTAATATCCAATTTAAAATAAAATAATTCTATGATATAAAATTTCATATTACTTAAAAAAAAAAATTTCCGCGAAAAAATAATGGAAATTTATCATTACTTTATCAGGAATAAAGGGAACTGCATTTGTTATGTTTCTTTTTAATGATTTTTTTTGCACTTTTTTTTTTTACTAAAAAAGAATTTTTATTTACAAAGCAAAATAAATTGCCAGTGACACTAACACATGCAATAGGAATATCGTTTTCCTATTTGCTTGATTTAGTCTACCTGACATTCGATCATACAAAATAGGTAGAGAAATTTTTTTTTTTTTTTTTTTTTTTTTCCATTAACGAAGCAAAAGGATCTTGAAGAATCAAAAAAAACGATCCTTCGAAGATCAATAAGCCTCAAAACGACAGTAAAGCCGTATAGTATCGCCAGGTCTATTTTTTTCATTGTTGAAAGTAATACAAAATCTTTGACAAGAAACAAAACGCAGATCGTTTAATGTGGCAAGATTACGTATATTATAAATATATTTGACGGAAAATAAGCAAGGCGAGTTTTTTTTCTCTTTTAAATTATTAATAAAATCAATCTACAAGAAACAATATTAATTTTATCCATATTTTCTTTTGGTTTTTCCGTGCAAATATATTTCATTTTTCTCTTGATTATATAGGATAATATTCATTCATGATGACGTTAAAGAATAGAAAACTCGAATTAAATCAATTTGAATCATATTTTAAAAATTAAAAAGAAAAAAATATCTTTGTATTAACTTATGATCGATGGATCTTGTTTTATGAAAATTATTTCATTCTACGTATTCCTACGTATTCCTTATGATAATCGATAAATTATTGCATTCTACAATTACGACATATAATATTTTACTGATCTATAAAACTGTTCTACCCCATGCAATATTGTTATATCCGAATAATTATTTATTTGTACTCCATTTTTTCTCCATCGAAATTTATAGTTCAATTCGAGAAAAAAAAATTGTTAAACAACATAAAAAAATAATTATATAAAATTTTTGTTATGTTTTATTATTAAATTGTATATGATAGAATATATATAAATAAAAAATTATTTTAAAAAAATATATAAATATTCTACAAATTTAATTAATTTTAATTAATAAATATTCGATGGAGGGAAAAATACAGTGCAAAGTTAGATTTAATTATACTATGCCCATTTAAATAATCTTGTCTCATCAACGTATATTCGTTTTTTTTGAAATAACATAATATTTAAATGTTTTATATAGACAAGATCATCATCATTATTATTTTGTTGTTTAAATATAACTATATCTATTGACTGTTCTTGTAAATATGAATGTATATATGTTTCAATATAATTTGTTTCCGTTGTTTTGTTTTATTTTTTTTTTTTCTTTTTTTCTTTTTTTTTATAAATCGGTGCTGTTAGATTTCTAGATACTAGTATCAATTTTTTAGTATCAATTTTGACAATTTCTTATATTGTTAATTTGAATCGATAATTTTATAATTTTTTCTCTTCTCTTTTCTTTATTTTTTTTTTTTTTTTTGACAAATACAGAATAATGTACAATTATTGTACATTATAATTATTTCGTAAAAATGCTTCTCATCTTTTTTCATAAATATCGATATTCACATCTAGATGAATTCATATCGTAAGTCAAACAGCACAGACAACCCTGATTACACGATAATATCGAATAATTCCTACTTAAAATCTTTGTGCGTTACAACAACAAGTAATATCATAGTACATATTCCTTTTTACTTATGAGTATAAATAGCTGTATTATTATAGAAATTTCCAAGATCTTCGATCATTTGGTCAAAGTAATGGAAGTTATTTATTTATGTTTAATAACTTCCTATACTTGCTCGATTTATATTTTTCATTAATTTTTCTTTCATCATTTTTTTTTTCTTTCATTTCACAATCTAATCGAGTCCTCTTTTCTCTTCGTCCATTTAATTAATTGCTAGTTTCAAATCACTACTTGGTTCGACGAATGTTTCTTTTTATATTTGTACAATTCACAACTCGCCTTACAGTATGATTACCGTCTTATTAGTTGTTTAATAGTTTAAAATATTTCAAACTACGTTATAAATCATTTCATAGAAAGAATGTGTTACTCTCACTGTATTTCAGGTTGCGTGGGAAATTAATGTTTTTTTGTTGCTTATAAATGTGTGATGTAATTATCAGAAATATTTATTAACCTTTTGAAGTATTTATTTTTTTTTTCATTTTTTTTATCTGCGATCTTATTCCGCATTTGAATAATTTGAATCCAAATATAAAAATAAATTTATTACGTTGGCACAATATTCCTTACAACGCTCTATGTTTTTTCAATAACATTCAAAAAATTTCTTTTGATTTTCTATTCTTAATTTATTATTAAAAATTTATGATATGCCGAAAAATTACTTTTATTGAAAAAATTTTCGTAGATATTTTAAAAATTGCTTTTCAAACTATCTAATCATTATCTTAGATTGATGAATACTTCAGAAGGTTAATAGAAATGTGCAGATTATATTTCAAATTCTTGATTAACATTATGAATAACATTATCTAGATTCCCACATATAATTAGTTACGGTTCATGAAATGGCGATTAAAAACCGGTATTAGCAATGTAATGCCTTATATGATAATAACATAAACCAAAAAACGTATTCGAAATATAATCTGAGCTTACAATATTATGAAAAATTAACAAAATAAAAACATATAAACTATTTTCATATTTTAAATAAAAAATATAAATTGCAAATAAATCATTATTTTTAATTTATTTTCTTTTATCCTTTTTTATTGTCACAATAATGGGTAAATTATTAATTATTAACAAGTTAAAGATTAACGAGAAGATTTGGTTTATGCTATTAACATATCAATAGTAACTTTCAAAGAACAAGATTTCACAAAAATCATACTACATAATATTTTACATGGTGTTAATATATTCGTAACGCCATATAATTTTTATAGAATGATAATATAGAATTCTTGCAAATGCCATGCATTCGTGATTATTTGCGAGTAAATAACATTTACCCAATATTTTTATAAAAATCTAATACTTTACGACATGAAGCGCACCATTTAAAACTTCAACGTGAAAAATAATTTTAAGTGATAAAATTCATTCAACTGTGATCGATCGTACCATATCCATTTTCACGTGGATTTTTTACGATCTATCTTTTTTTGCTTTAAAAGCTAAGTAACCACGATGTGTTAAGAATAAAAATTGATTAAATAACTATCCAATTCATAAAATTCTTGATTAAGAGCGCCATAGAAAAATATAAATTGGCGGTGTATTTATGGTAATTCGAATTTCATTGACGAACAAAACGACATACCAGGAAAACCCGCCATTGCAATAATTATTTAGCACTATTATCGATGTAGAATCCAGTACATATCATAAATACGCAATGTTATATTTTTTGAAGTTTTTTTTCATTTTATTTTTTGTTTAAAACAAAAGTGCTCAAACTTCAATTACTAAATTGTACGAATTTTAATTAATTTTTGAAAGATTTAATTAATATTAAATATAATAATTTGGAATCATACTTAAAAAAAGCTTATGATAATTTTCAGTTTAATAAGTATATTAATAATAAAATCTAAAAACATAGAATATATAATAAGAAAAGAAAAAATATGAAAAAATGAATAACATGATATTACGAAGTTTGAATACTTCTGATCTAAAATGTGATGTTTCATCAATTAAATATAAATTTGACAAATATATACGTACAAATATAAGATAAAATAAAACATTTACAAATTTACATATTTGCTCTTTGACAATCTTCTAATTTTCTAGTCAAAAAGAGCATATTACATACTGGGTTCAATACCGATTGTTATGTAAAAAGAAGCTCACCAATGTCCAGCAGGTGATCGTAAATATTTCTTAGAAACGCTTGAATAACAAAGTCGCAATAACGCGTTCTTAAATGACTTAGAAACAAACGTTTCGAAACGACGAATATAAAGTATTTATATAAAATCAACTTCCACTTATTCGAATCTCAAATACTTCACAGCGATAATCGCTCCATTTGAGCAATTTCTTTGTCATATTTTTTACACTTGTAAACTTAATGTTCCACCAAAGATATCTAAAACTTCACTGAAGAAGACATTTATACTTTTTAGTTTCATTAGTGACAAAATATATATAATGTTCAGAAATTTATGTTTGCATCACAGTGACTTTTTTTTACTTTAAAAAAATAAGCAATATAAATCTAAGAAGAATATAATTCTTCATTTTAAATTATAAATAGTAGTGGTAATTAGATTAAAATTACATATAATTTTGTAGTCAACTTTTTTAAAAGTATTTTTAAAAGTATTTTTTTTATATGAATTTTCCAGTATGTTGCTTTCATTATTATATTTGTACAATACTGCAATTAAAAAGATAAATTAATTCTGATAATATTTTTCTTATTATATATTATATAGATAATAAAAATTTAAATATCCTGATAAATATCCTTACAAATGATAAATTCATATTTAATAAATATAAACAAAATAAAATTTATTTTAATAAAAACTTAAATTGATTTAACTTTATGTTAATTTTATATAATCACTGTGATATAAATTATTTGATATTACCACTGAGATTTGTTCATTAATTATTTTATACTGCCACTATAATGCTTTGCATATTGAAATGGAATATTTATACAAAGTATTATTATCATTATAGAATGTTGTCATGCATACAATTTAAAAATTATTTTCTCAACTTTTGATAGATCACTATACAAAATCACAAAAAATTCATGAATTATTTTTGTATAATTCATGTATTTATTTTGCATATTTCAACGATTAGGCTCTGTCACTTCATTAAACAAAGGTGTCAATGAATCAACATCTTGTAATCCATCAAAATTACCAAGTGTATCTAAATCATTTGTTTCAGTATCAGTTTCTCCAAGAAAATTAGCTTCAAGCAAATCCACAACATTTCTACACAAACTGTTAGAAGTAGATTCATTAGCAGTTTCATTGTGCAAATTTAAAGAGTTCAAAGTAGGACTTGAAAGCATAGGTTCATTAGTTTCCTGATACGTTTCTTGTGATTGAACAGTATGCAATGGCGTGGAAGGATATGATCTTGATCCATTACTATCTTCCGTATAAGATGGTGTATATGTTGATACTGGCACAGGTAATGGTGTATTAGGGTAGGAGCGTGACTGTATTATTTTCTGTAAAGCTCCACCTACTGGAATATCAAGTACATTTGATGGATCTAACATATCTTCTTCTGATAAGTTTAAGTTGGAATTTGGTAAACCATCTAGCACTATTGAATTATTTTCCATTAATCCTTCTTCTGTAGATTGCTCTGGTATAATTTGCAAACTCTGAGTTCCTTCTTCATCTAAAATATTTAATATATTTGTTATGTTTTCAGGTGTAATTTCTTTATCACTCATTAAGAAATTTTGATCATCCGATATAAAATTTGGATCAACATCATCAAGTAAATATGTTGAGGGTCCTTCTGATTGACTCATTGATCCAAAATCATTGAATTCACTAGGTACCGGTGTAGGTGCTATAGAACTGTTTGTAGATGGATTAAAACTCTGACTTTGAAAAGACGATAAGCAATGTTGTGTCGAAATAGGTGACATTAATGCAGGATTAACCATTCTATGTAATGGAACTGATTGTGATCTATAAAGTTCATTGGTAAATTGTTTATTATTATGAAATAATTCACTAATTTCTTGATCAGGTTGATTTTTTTGATAAACATTTTTAATTTCTTGCAAATTTTCCTGACTTGGATAATTAATAAGTAATTGCTTTTGAGGTGCTAAATCAGAAGATAAAAATGCAGCACACTGTGATCCTTGTCCTTCTCTTTTTGTAACTGAAATTTGAGTTGAATTACTATCAACTTGCACTTCCGATGATTTAGTAGAAATTAACGGTAATTGCGGTGTAGATGATGTTTGTCTAACTAATTCCGGACCACTTGTAGGAACAACAAAGGTATCGTTTTTACTAGTATAAGGCATACTGCAAGATATTGAACGTGATAAAGATTTATGAACACGAGCTCTAGAACTACTTGCTTGCAAATTACTTCTCGAACGTGGCACAGGTGTATTTCGTGGTGAAACAAATGGACTGGCATTTGCAGAGTTAGATTTGGAAGCACGACCATTAATAGGAGAATGTGGGCCCGGCGATATTGGTGTAAAATTAAATATTCGACGACGTGTATTAGGACTTTGTGGAACTGTATTAGTAATAGTATTTGAATCTTGGACATGTTCTATAACATTTGTTTCAAAACTAACTCTACGTCTGGTATTATTTTGATTCGAATGGTTTAATAAAGTTGGTAATATTAAATTATGTTTTTGAGTAATTTCACGTTTTTCAACATTTTGTCTAATGATAGTAGCAGGTAATACATCAGGTGCATGTACAGTTCCTCCTTTTAAATTCTGTTGTAATATTAATCTCAATTGAGAAACTTTATCAGATCTTGATATTTGTTCATCAATAGTAATGGTGTTTGCTTCCACATCTGAACTCGATGAATTGCTTTGTTGAAAATACTGTAATAATTCCTCCTCTTGTTCTTGAGAGTTGTTACCTCCATTCAAATAATCATCTAAAGCATCCGAATCAATAGAGCCAAGTTTTTCAGTTTTATCTGCAAGATTTGAATTTTCTTGCAATAATCGAATTTGATCTTTAGTTAAAATTGTAGATTCTTCTGCACTTGAACTAGACTCAAAACTAGTACGACAACCATTCAATTTTATACAACTTTTGGAACATGTTGATTCATTATCACAGTTTTTAATAGATTGATTATTAACTTCATTTGTTTTACACTTGGTAGGCTTCAGATTACCAGCTAGTATTACTGAAATCTTCCTGGGACGTTGTATAGATGTAAGTTTAGGCAACAACATATTGGAATGCTCTACATTCTCTTGTATCTGCTGTTCTGTAAGTTTTGTTTGTTTCTCAGGACTTGTTTCTGATGGTTGACTCAATACATTGGCACGCTTTCTGGAATTTTTAGGTTTGATATCTCTCTGTTTATTTACGCAGTTGGTCATTACTACACTAGGGTTGCTATTATTCTGTATTTCTTCAATTGATTGTACCACTATATTATCACAGTTGGATTCCAGGGAGATGTTACATGGCTGACTACTAGCTTTAAGAATTTTCTTCTGCCGATTTATTACAGCAGATGAACTCATTTTATTTAATGTATTCTGCCCACTTGATACATTTGTACCTTGAGATGACTGATTGAATTTAGTTTTCTTACTTCCTTTATTTGTCCCTGTTTTATTATCAACAGTCTTCTCTTTATTCTGATTCTGAAAAATATACAGAATATTCATTTCTTTTATTTAATATATTTATTATATGCACAAAATATAAAATGAAAATGAATATGTGAGACTTAAAGATCACTTTTCAAAACAAGTCAATAAATCAAAACAAACACAAAAATTCATATACAAAAATTCATATACAAAAATATCAGTTAGAATTTATTTATTAATTTTAAAGAATATATTTATTAAGTTATAAATAATTTTATTAAGTTATATTATTTATTAAGTTATAAATAATTTTAGTTTGTCTTAAATGAACTTAAGTGGCAAAACTTAGATAGTATACTGTTTTGCTTAAAAGATTCTGTCAATGAAAAATTTATAATGCAAAAAATTCAGAACATTTTAAAGACAAAATTTCTTATAACAGAATATAAATATAATGTAATGCATGTTATATCATATATTATCAAGAAAAAGATATTTTTTAACACCTTTTATTTTAAAAATATTTTTTTATTATATAAAATATCAATACAATTTAATGAAAAAAAATTTATCTTTACAATCTATATATCTTCTCTATACAATCTATGGTGCATCCTATATAATTTAATATTATAAAATAATGATAATCATAGATACCATAATTTATATAAGTTTTTTTTTTAATTAATAAATTATAATACATTTTGTTGTAAAACAATATAAATTACATTAATAATAATATAATTGCTTTATATAATAACAAATGTTTTTAAAATATTATTAAAAAATTTTTTTCATGATCATATGCGATATAACATGCATTATATTATTTTTATGTTCTATAATAAATGTATTCAAATATTATATATTTAAAATGTTTTTTGCCGTTATAAATTTTATTATAAATTTTTTATTAAGGAATTTTGCTAAGTAAGCAATATAAGCATTATAGACAATCTACTATCCTCCTTCATTTAAAATAAACTTAAAATTGCTTATAATTTATAAATATCAATTAAAATTATTTCAGTTATTATTTATTGTCATTTTTGCTTGCATATTCTATTTTGGCTTCTAGAATCAACTCTCCAAAGATATCGTTTATGTTTATTAATATTATTTTCTCAATTCATTTAAAAAATACTTTATATATTTAATTTACTTATAATTGATATTTATGTTACTCATTGCATAATATTTTGTATAATATATACCTGTATAATAGCATCAAGATGACAGTGTTTTTGATCCCTTATATGTTCTCGCTGTTGTAGTTTTCGTTGCAATTGTAATTGTGCTTCTCTAAGCTTTCCAGATTTTCCAGTTATAGGTGTTGCACGTATATCTGTATTTGATTCTGAACATATAAAATAATTTCTAACATATATTCAGTAAAAATATTCTTGAAAAATGTTGTAATCATCAAACCTTTATTTGTTGATGCATTAGAATTTCCTGAAGCACATAATATGCATATAGCAGATAGAGATTGAGTATCAACATACACATTATCAACAAGATGACGTGCTAAGGCACTCAAAGTTGGAAATTTCAAACCTAAGAGACTTTCTGCCCATTCTCTGATCAATGTAGATGCAGCTCCCAACATTTCTTCAGTAATATTTTCATCTACTTCATCACCCTAAGAAATTTTGAAATAAAAAATTTTAAATTAGAATTAATTCTAATATATATATATATATATAATATAATATATAATATATATATATAAAATCATTAATTAAGTTCTGCAGATTGTATGCAAGTAGTAATAAATTGCAATGATTTTATATAAATTTCAATTTTATTTTAATTTTTATTTCAATTTTTTCATTTCTTAAAGATTAGCTATTTTGATATAACAAAATATATAATATGTATTAGTTCAATAACATAAAATATAAAAAAATTTATATTATGAAAAAATTCTTTAAAAAATTAAAAGAAAGATGTTCATGATAATATTAAAGTAATAATTATCTTGCAATATAATAATATTCTATTGTGTTATTGTTAATATCTTATAAATTAAAATAATCTTATAATTTTATAAATTAAAATAAAAAATTTATTTTTAATTAAATTTATTTTCAATCTACTCTAAAGATATTATATGTTGAAATATATTAATAAGTATTTAATCAAGAAAAAAATTAGTAACATTATTTTAATAAATATTTTAACATAAAGGATTCACAGATGTTAGTTTACATTCTAATATTTTAAATTAGTTTTAAATTATATTATTTTTAGAAATATCTATAAGAATATAGAATATATATATAATTTTTTAAATAATTTCATATTCTATATATCTTTATATATCTTACAGTTTGAGTGCCAGATATGTTAGGCAATGTTGGAGAATCCAATTTAACTCTTTTGCGCATTCCAGCATAACAGTAACGTGAATTTCCACGTGTGCCTAGTCGACGTGGTCGAACTCTTGGATATACTTGTTTCATAACTTTGCCAAAATCAGCAGTTGATAGAGGTTTCATAGAATTTCGCATACAATACATACTAAGAATAAATTAAAAACAAAATAGATTTTCAGAATTAAATATTTTATGAAATATTCAAAATTAGCTTTAATTTAATGATTCTGAAATTTATAGAGTAACATTTAAAATATATTGAATTTAAATAACTTACTTATATTCATCATAAACTTCTTGTTTTGGTAAAGAAACATCTGGATCTTCTTCCAAATGTGTTTTAATCCACATGATAGTTTGATGAATTTCATAACGATTTCCTAATGGATTTAATGGCTGTCTCAAAGGATCAATAGTTCCTCCAGTATTAGTCAATGATAATGGAAGCTTCAGGTACAACAATAATTTTTCTTCTATTTTCAATTGTTCAATTTGTGAAAAGATTTCTTGAATACGTGTTTTTGATTCATCACTGTACATAAAAGACAATAAAACTATTATGAATGAATGATTTAGTATTAATATTTAATCAAATATGTATTCATTGGAACAATAATAATATATAACATAAATTTCTACAATATGAAAAAAATTATAAATATTTAAAAACAATTCAAATTAAATCTAGTATAGTACAATATAATATAATATAATAGTTATTGCATATGTAGAAAATAAAAAATATATAATATCTTTATTTATCATTATATTTATATATAAAAATTTTATTTTATAAGGATATAACAAAAATATTGTTTAGAAGTAGTTAATAATAATGTTAAAAAGAATTCTCAATCTATAATTTAAATTTTACTTTTACTAAATTATTTATTTAATTTAAATATAGTAATCAATTTCTTAAATTTATACAAAAAATATTTTTATTTCATATATTATATCAGAATTTATACAATTATATTTTATTATTAATAAATTTATAAAAAAAATGTTTTATTATAGAGTTTTAATCCTAATGAAACTATTTTGGAATATATATATATATATATATGGATTATAACTAATCTAAGATAAAATATAAATATTTTAAATATTATTGAATATTTAAAGATTTAACCTTTTCATTTTCTTTAAGAAAAGATAATTATAGTATTATATTATATAATTATAATAATTTTATTTTTACATAAAAAAAAAATATCAAAATATAAAATGTTTTAATGATTTTCTTATAATATATCTTTTATAATATTTTTAATTATTTCATTTATTATTATTTTTAAATATATTTTATTTTTATATTTATTATTATTATTATATTAAAAAATATAATTTATTTTATATAAATGTTTTTAATATTTTTTAATTTATTAATTATTTTCAATTATATAATTAGAATAAATTGCAATTTGATGCTTTATAAAAATGTTTTTTTTACTTAAAATATGCATTTTTTTCTCTTTTTCTTTAGGACAAAATGAACATCTTCCACTTAATTTTTTTCTTATTTGTACATTTGTGATTTTTTTTAACTTTTAATGATTCAGATATAATACATTAATTATTCAACATGTTTTGAATATAATTATTTGTAAAATATGTTTTTTCAGATGATTTTTTAATATCAATTTGTTAAAAAAAACACTTGTTAATAATTGAATCAAAATATTATCATATTTTTAATATAATTGAACAAAAAATAATCTATTATTTATTTTGAGCAATTAAATACTTAAGATATAGATGTCATATTAAAATGAAGGATTATTAGTAATCCTAAAAATGTTAAAAACATGCAAAAAATTTTTCTACTATTAAATAAATTAAGATATAAATTAGAAAAGTTCAATATTTTAATATTTATATATCACTATTAGATTTTGATGGAAGTATTGACAATTCCATAATATCATTGTAATACCATTCTAATATAAATTTAAATTAAATTTATTATTACATTTCATTAAAAAAATATCAAATTTCATAAATAATAAAATATCAAATGCTATTATAATTATTTTAATAATTCTGCAAAAATATTTAATATATATTACAGATTTAAAAGAAAAATGTTTTCTTATATTAATATAAGATATATATAATATTTTTTTTTAACTACTTGATTTATATAAAAATTATTATAAAAATTATTATATAAAATATTTTATTTAATCATAATATTATAAATTCTCCAATAATAAAATAAAGACAATTAAACATTTATTTAAATTAATTTTTAATTTTAATATCTTGGAATGAATAAAAATAAAAAAATATATTTTACTTAAAAAGAAAAATTCTATGTTGTATATCATCATTTGAAATAAAATTTTGTTTATATTCTATGTTAAAATATATATAATTTTAATTTTTAAATATGGATAATAATAAANTATTGTTCAAAAAAATATTTAAAACAACTTTTAATAATCATAAAGGAAAAATAAAAAAAATAGTTTTCATAGCATATATTTTGAGAAAAATATGTTTTGATACAATATATATTAAATAACTTTAATTTTACAATTGCTAATAAATAAATTATTAATAAAAAATATATATATAATTATAAAAATATATATAAATTAAATTGAATAACTCTCTAAATTGCAAAATAATCGAATTAGTTAAAAAACAATTTATGTATATTATACATCAAAAATCTAATAATTTAAACTTTTACAATATTTTGTTTTAATATAAAGTTTATTATTATTATTAATTTCTCACAAATACAAATTATAATAAAAATTTTTAAAACTTATTAAAAGAAAAATAAATGAAAAAATGAAAAAGCAAAGGAATAGAAAAGAATGAGAAAAAGAAGAAAATAAAAAAAGAAAAGAGAAAGAAAAAGAACAATTGAATTAACCTGATGCTATCTTCGATCATGAGCCGAATTTTGTCGTACTTAGTAGTTGTGCTATGATTTGCCAGGGCCGTGAACTTGGCCGCGATGATATCTTGAAGTAGGTCGTCGTCGTGGAAGCCGTTTGAAAATCTGCCGGCAGCCGGTCGCTGACTCGACTGTACTTGCTTATTAGTATCATTAGTGCCAGTACTGATGCTACCATCACCATTTTCAAGCGAAACGTCAGTTCGTTCCTTCTTAATTCGCCTGCCGTCGAACGCACTTTCGTCGGCATTAAGCTCGATTCTTGCGGATGGTTTGCTGACGCAGGGCTTCGTTTGATCATGGTTATCAGTACTCATCGTACCCCGTCAGCGGAGGCGCTTCAATTATGTATATAAAAATTTATCACCTCCCGTAGGACAACGCGAGTACCCTACCATTTTGTCAGAGTCAGCTGGACTACTTGTTAGCATTGCACTCCCGGTGATTACACATAAGCGCCATTCGAGACCCTCCACTCGCGCGAACCGACAAGTCGCCGAAGCGCATACAATATGAAAATAACCACAAATCCGTCATACCGATCTCACGTGCAACATTTTATTCATTCTTTTTGGCATAGTTCATTTTGACGGAATGCACTTATGCGCAACCCATGACGAACTTAAATCGTAAGATTTGTGGACGGTCTATCAGGCACGGAAATCCGAGCACTTTGCGCGTTCTTCAATCGTCATAGATCTTGCGCTTTGTCTTATGAGTACGTCGCTTTATGCCGCTTTCTCCTATGCATTAAGTTGCGTTTTCATTGAATTCATATTTCTTTAAAAATAATAATCATTGGTAGATTCTTTTCTTATAAAGCAGAATGAATTTACATTTTTGAAATATATATATTATGTATTTTATTATTAAAAATTTATACAATTTTTTATTTTACAAAAATTAAAATTTAACAATAAAAATATATATATTTTTAAATTATAAAAAATATATTATAATTTTGTCTTTTTTATTTCTTTAATATTACATTTCTTATTAGATATTTATAATTGAATAAATATACTTATTAATTTATATATTATGATTCTAAAAATATCAAGTAAAATAATACGATTGATTAGTGAACACATTAAAATTAATATTTTAAGAAAAATTATTTATATTTTTTCAATAAAAGAATATTAAAATAAAACAATATTGTTTATATATTATATGATATAAATTATAACAATGTTATATCAATAATAATTTTTAATAAATTATGTTACTCATGTATGATCGAGATATCGAAACAAATAGAAGAAAAATTATAGCTAATATCAAGAATAAATATCTAAAAATTCACATATAAATAAAAGGTAAAATTAGAATATAGAAAGTAGAATTATTTCATTGATTTCGTAATATTAAATTGTTAAAATTTTAATTAATTTTTTTCATATATTATATTTAACTATTTCCATATTATATTTAATTTCATTATTAAGTATGTAGTATTAATCAATTTCATAATTACAATCATATACTAGTAAATCATAATTTATTATTTATTTTTTTATTTTATAAACTTTTCAATGTAATTATTTTTTTATTTTTCACTAATTACTATATATATATATATATATATATATATATATATATATTGTATACATATACATGTATTTTATATTATATTTTATATTAAATAAGAAATAAATAATTATTATAAATATGTAATAAAAATTTGAGAAGTTAATTTATATTTATATTTAATTGTGAATAATGGTAATGTTGAAAAATTGATATATTAATATTATCAAAAATTATTAGCATCATTAAATACTAAAAATTATCATTAATACTAAAAATTAATCATTAAATACTAAAAATTCTAAAAAAAATTCTCTCTTCTCTCTTTTTAATAAATACTATATATATATTAAATTCTTATGAATTTAAACAGTTTTTTTTCATATTACAAAAACATAATTTAATCTAAACTTATCTAAATTAATTAAAACTAAATATAATATTAATTTATATCTTATTTGAATATATTATATATATTTGAATATAAAACATCCAAAATATAGAATAGATAAATCTAAAACAATTTTCAAACATTATAAATTCAAGCTAACTTAAACTTAATTATATTTCTATTCAATTTTCTATTTCTTCTTATTTTGACTTTCGATTTAAAAACTTATTTTTTATTTGATACAATCTACTATCTGACATTAGTTAATATTATACGTATAATAGGATTATTGGATTTTTATTTATTATTTATTATTTTAAAAAAAGATATATTATTTTCTTTCATTTTTTCAACAATAAAATTTTTTCTGACAATTATATTGGCAGTTTTTTAATATAATCAATTGAATATGAAGATTTTTATTAAAAATATTTCAGTAATTTAATAATACATATTATAAAATTATAATAATATGATATATAATATAATATATATCAAAACAAATAATCAATTCATATATCATATATTATATTTCATGAATTGTTACTTTACTATTAATAGTATCTTGCTATTAATATATATTATAATTATATTATAATTATCATTTAATTAAATATATAGTTTAATATTAATAATTATTTGTAATCATTACATTAATATTCATTGTTATAAAAAATTATGTTGTAGATTTTTTTAAAAATAATTTAATAATTTATAAATTTATAAAATTTATATTATATTATATTATATTATATTATATTTATATTATATATTAATTTTGGTTAATATGATATAATATGATGAATATTACAAAGATATTATTTTTAAAAAATCTTTCATTGTAATAAATGATTGACATTCTTAATTTTTTGCAGATATTGAATTTTCAACGTATATAGTTGAAAATGATGAGTACATCAAAAAATTTTTATTTATATCAATTTGGATTGAAACGTTATGTAAAATATTATAATTTTTATTTAAAAAGAAATATAGCATTTAGTGCTACAAAATACAATAGAAATGTAACAGAAAATTACATTAATCAATTTAAGACTGGACAAATTATTAATGGTTTTATAGTAGATGAAATTGCAAAAATAGATGAAGTATATCTAACTGCAGTGAGATTGAGTCATTTGGGAACTGGAGCACAATATTTACATTTAGCTAGAGATGATAGTAACAATGTGTTTTCAGTTGGATTTCGTACAACTCCAAAAGATTCTACAGGTTTACCTCATATATTAGAACATACTACTCTCTGTGGTAGTGAAAGATATCCATGTAGAGATCCATTCTTTAAAATGTTAAGAAGATCATTAGCTACATTTATGAATGCTATGACAGGACCTGATTATACTATATATCCATTTTCTACACAAAATTTAAAAGACTATCAAAATTTACAATCAGTGTATCTGGATTCTGTATTTAGACCATATTTAAGAGAACTTGATTTTAAACAAGAAGGATGGAGATTAGAACATGCAGATGTTAATGATAAAAATTCACCTATTATTTTTAAAGGAGTAGTTTTTAATGAAATGAAAGGTGTCTTTAATGAAAATCAGACAATATTAGCTGAAAAATTTTTAAACCATATTCTACCTAGTCATACATATGCAGTAATTTCTGGTGGAGATCCTCTTGTTATTCCTACTTTAAAATATATTGATCTGCTTAATTTTCATCAAACTTATTATCATCCTTCTAACTCTCGTTTTTATTCATATGGCAATTTTTCCTTAGAAAATCATTTAAAATTTATTAATGAGCGATATTTATTTTTAATGGATAATATTGATACATCTATATCAGAAGTTCCTTCAGAAAAACGTTGGGATAATCCAAGAAAAGAACATGTTACGTGTAGATCAGATCCTATGGCTGCAGATCCTAGTCGACAAGGTAGCATAGCTATTGGTTATTTGTGCAATGACATCACTGATGTACAAAAAACTTTTGAAATCAATATTTTATCTCAACTTTTGTTAAGAGGTCCAAATTCAGCATTTTATAAATCTTTAGTAGAATCAAAATTGGGAACTGCTTTTGGATCAATGACAGGTTTTGATTCTCAATGTAAAGATACCATGTTTATTGTGAGTTTGCTTGGTACTAAACCAGAAGATTTTGAAAAAATAGATGATGTCTTTAATAAAACTGTACAGAAAGTTGTTGAAGAAGGTTTTATAGAGGATCATGTTGAAGCTGTTTTACATAGTATTGAGCTTCAATTAAAACATCAAACTTCCAATTTTGGATTGCAATTACTTTTCAATTTAACACCATTGTGGAATCATAATGGAGATCTTATTCAATCAATGAGAATTAATGATGCAATTAGAAAATTTCGAGAAGAAATAAAAAGTAATCCCATATATCTTCAAGAATTAGTGAAAACATATCTTATGGATAATAATCATAGATTAACATTAACAATGTTGCCATATGAAAAATATGATTATGAAAAAGCAATTGCTGAACAAAAATTATTAGAATCTAAATTAAAAGAACTTTCCAAAGAGGAAATAGAACATATTTATATATATGGTAAAATTCTTCTTGAAGAACAACAAAGACAAGAAGATGTAAATGTTCTTCCAACTTTAAAAATAGAAGATATAAAAGAAGATGTAGAACGATATAAATTAGAAAATAAAAAAGTAATAGATGTTCCTTTACAAATAGCTACTGAACCAACAAATGGTGTTTGTTATTATCGAGGAATTCTTAATACGCAAGATCTAGCACAAGAATTAAAACCTTTATTACCACTTTTTAATAATATCATTTCAAAAATGGGTACAAAAAATTATGATTATAGAAACTTTGATCAAATGATTCGATTAAAAACTGGAGGTTTAAATTTTATGAATCACATTGCTGAACATAAAAATAATTTATTACAATATGAAGAAGGAATATTAATAGAATCATATTGTTTGGATCGTAATATAAATGATATGTGGAGATTATGGTTAGAGTTGTTTAATAATGTCCAATTGTCTGATATTGAAAGATTTACAACACTTGTTAAAATTAATGCTGTTGATTTGATTAATGGAATTGCAGATTTAGGACATACTTATGCAATGAGTAGTGCAGCTAGTTTAGTCTCACCAGTCACTAAATACAAGGAAAGTTTATCAGGATTACAATATGTCTCAAATATGAAAAAAATAGCACAAATGCCAGATTTAAGTCCTGTGTTAAGCCAAATGCAAGAAATATCTGATTATATTCTAAATAAACAATATTTGAGATCAGCAATAAATTTATGTAAAAATAACAAAGACATGATATTAGAAAGTATTACTAAATTTTATAGTTTATTAAAAGGCACACCTAAAGATATATATACTTCTACTCATGATCAAAATCTTGAAATAGGAGATAGAGCTATTCATTATGTATTACCATATTCTGTAAATTATACAGCTAAAACAATTTTTACTGTACCATATACAAATCCAGATTTTGCACCTTTACGAGTACTTTCTAAATTGATTACATCACTTTACTTACATCCAGAAATTCGAGAAAAAGGTGGTGCTTATGGTGGTGGTGCTACATTATCATCAGATGGCATTTTTGCCTTTTATTCTTACAGAGATCCTAATTCTACTCGTACTTTAGATTTATTTGAAAAAACTTATGAATTTTTATTAAAGCAATCATTATCCCAAAGTGATATTGATGAAGCAAAATTAGGAATATTTCAACATTTTGATGCACCAGTTTCTCCAAGTAATCG